GCGGCCCCCCTTGATCGGAGACCGAGGCCTGGCCCTTTTTTGTGGTAAAAAGGAGGGGAACGGAAATGACGTGGAAGAAAGGAATCTTTGGATATCAAAAAACAAAACCAAAACCCCCAATGACATGGCATGGAATGAATGAAATCATTGATCTTTGGAACTTCCCCAACCGTTGCAGTTCTCCCAATCCGCCGCGGCGTCCGAATCCCCGTCGCTCGAGGTTCTCCGTCGCTCGAGGGGGAGGCACTGCTGTGCTGGGGAGCGGCCTCAGACATCGAGATCTCGCGTCGAAAGACCGTCGATTGAGACGGGTCAAACGTATTCCCGGGAGAACGGACGTTCTCCCTGAACGGATTTGGAGTGTTTGAAGCCTCCCCTATCGGTGGAGAGATCAAATCCAACTGTCAGGTCTCAGGATTTGGAGTTCCACTCGGCCAAGAGGGTCCGAGCGGTCAAACTCGTCCAAGAGGCAAGCGCTCTCGATGAGCACCGCGATGAGATCTTGATCCTCTGGCGGGGGCTCCAACGGGGGGGGGTGCCGGACTCCGGACTCCGGGGGTCTGCAAGCCTGTAAAACCGCTCATCCCCAAACAAGTGCTGCTTGTTTTTCTGGTCGTTTTGCAGGATGACTGGGCCATGTGCAACAGTGTAATGTTAGACGTTCCTTGCTTTCGACGCTCCTGATAACATGATTGTGAACCTGCAAATTCATCCCAGAGGCGTTCGCAAAGCTTGAGTTCGCTTTGCTATCGTTCTTACTGTATACCATTGTACACCTAAAATTTCGGGGCCATGGTTCCATGCAGCCCCAAAGATCAATTAAACAATGAGTGATCAGAATGAGTAAGGCTCTGGACTCCGGCTGGCAGGGGGATGGATGAACAGAGAAAAGCAATTTGGGAAACTAGGGGCATGCCGCGCATGCCTGCCATCTTTAAAGTGTCAGGCGCAAGATGGCGCCAAGGGATCTACACAAACTCCTCTGGCCCTATGTGGATTGGAATTGACTCGAATCTTCAGCACAAGCAGTGTGGTACCTGCTAGCAGAAACTTCAGCTTTCGCGGAGCATTTGTGGTTGTGCAGTGTTGTTTTTGAGGAGCCTCTCAGCAAGCTGTATTAGGTAATGAACCAACAAGAAGACGTCACTACAAGGGCAAATCACAAAAACAAGAACATGCATCCAGGTGAATCCAGGTGTAACTGTCCCAGTTCGAGCATACTTGGCTCAGAAGGATTCAACATGATTCAAGAGATATAAGCCACTCCACTACTATAGTGACATGCTACTTCTGCCGCTCTCGAAATGGCCTAGCATGGAAACACGGAAACACGACCACCTTGGCAGTGTCCACCCAAATTCCTCAGACCAGCATTCAGCATAGATCTTTTACATGATCATCCTCAACCACAACTGATGCACTGCTATCAACCCAATCACTGACTCGACCCCTCGCGCCAGGACCCCCGGTCAGAGCAAGCGCCAGGCACATCGACCAAGGCCTGACCGGTGCGGCCGAGTCGGTTCGATGTTTCGGTTCGGTGCCCGTTCGTCTGGTTTTAAGGTGCCGTTCGATGTCGGTGAGTAGGTTCCGTTCGATGTGTTTTTAAGGTATAAAGGTGCTATAATTAGGTTCCGTTCGATGTTTTTTTAAGGATTTTTAAGGTAGATATTTGGTTCGATGGTTAAAAATTGGTCGAAGCCGAAGGAGTCTAATTCTCTTCAAGGACCTTGGACCTTGGACCTTGTGGCAGAGGCTTCATTGAGACTTGCGTAGACAAGGGATTTCGGATGATGGGAAGGGTTTCAAAGCATGGGAATCCAAAGAATCCAGGAATGTCATCATAGTAGGGGCTCCTGGCCTTACTACTAGGAGCAAGGACGCTACTAGAGGCTCCTGGCATCGCTACTAGGAACAAGGACGCTACGAACGGGGCTCCTCCTAATACAGACTCAACCCCTTGATGATATTTCAACCCAACCAAGCATGGAGTGTAAAACCTCTGACGAGGCATGGGGGGGGTTGAATATAATTGAATATCGCAGACTCATCAATCGAGTCTGCGAAATTGCGCTGGGAGTGCTTCGCTTCACCTTAAAAAGTTCCAGCTCACTTGGAAGCATCAAAAGCTAGGCCCAGCGACACCCAGCCCATGCGAATCGGAGGCGTTGAACCGATCGAAAGTGAATCGGCTTGACGTTTAGTTGTCAAAAAAGCAGCTGTGAATCTGTGCAGTGCGAAGCTTTTTCCTATATAGAGAATGTCCATGAATTTCCTGAAACCAAAAATCCTTTGCAAGCTGCTGTGATCAAACCAGCCGAAGGTTGCGTCGCCTTTGTGCGCCTCTTGGGTGTGACTTGAGCCTCTTTGATATTTCAATGACCGAACAGTATCCCTAGTTTATAACATACCTTCAGGATCCAGGTCTATCAGGTTGAAAGATTCATCAGATTTCATCAGTATCCCACAATCTGGTCATACAAGAAACATTCAAGAAATGAGGTTTTCGAGTCTTGAGGTCCAGATGATCATGGTTTCCTTGGTGTTCGAAAACCCAACCGCCGCGGATGTCCGCCCCAACAGCTGGGAACGCCGCCGCCATCGCCAGCTCGGCCAGCGCTGCCGGTGTCATGGCTTTCGAATGAATCAGAGTAGGATAGAGTAGGTGTGGATCGAAGGCGTAAAGCCGTGTGTAGCATCCATTTGGGTGTGTAGCTCGAAGACATGGGAGGGTCTTTCGGCCTTGCGAGCTTGGTTCGGGGTTCCCGGAAGACCAGGTCTACTGGGGCCGGCGGTCCGGAAGTCCTTCGACCTCCCAAGGTTCTGTCGACCAGAAGGCGGTTTTACGGCATTTGGACCTCTTTGGCACTCCAAAAAGGTTTTAAACAATAAGAGAAGAATGCCTAGGGTATTACATTTAGAGTACATCTCACACCCTTGGCCCAGTGGATGATGGTTCGGTTACACTTTGGCCTACAACGAAAAAAAATTGATCATAGTTTAGGACGTCTACCGACTGTTACGGGTCGTTTAGTTTACCCCGAAAGAATGCGCACACGATGTCTGATGGATCGATGGATCGATGTGTCTGATGGATCGATGGATGATAGTAGAGGTTGGTATTATCATTTATATGTCTGGATGGTTTCCCAGTGACAAAGGGAAGAGGTTTGAGTGATTAAAAGCCCTCATTTTCACTGGGAGCACCTTGACTTACTTCCAACCTTCCTGAACAGGCAAAATGACTGGAGCTACCTCCAGGACTATGTAGTTTTATCAAATCAATGTAGCTTGTCATATCTTGCCTATGTTTCCTAGGTTCCCATGCATCATTAGAACGGAAATACGTCCATGAATTGACGCCTCCAATGAACCTCCAGCACTCGTGATAGTGTAATTAAGTACTACAGGTCCTGAAACATCTGGGGTTTTCGGTAGTGTTCATCGCATGTCTTCCCTCGGCATCTCTGTCCCTTTCATCGCTTGATCCGGTTGGTCATGGCGTGCGAAGCTGATCGAAACCTCCGACCAGCGAAACCACAGCTGGGCTATGACTGACAGTTCGCCACTCTCGGGTCACTGGTCCTTCAGAGTTTGCTCCCACTTCTGCTTTCCAGGACGCCCGGATCCTTGGGGTCAACCCGGAAAGTGTTCAACGCCTGACTTTTGGGTCTCCGGGTCACTTTCAAACTTCCCCGGCCCAACGAGATAGAAGGAGTGTAGTGCCTACGTGTCAGAGGCTCTAAACAAGCATCTTGCTTAGCTGTTGCCAACTCATCGCGACAGCTTCTCCGGGTCTCTCTTTTTGTCAGGTTGCCGAAAGACCATGTAGAAAAAGGCAACATGTCGCAATGAAGATTGCTCAAAATCCATTTGGAAGGGCCAAAGCCACGTAACACCATATACACTCTTCACGATCAAGCCCAGCATCCACGACCATTGTGGATTACCCACAGCCAGTGTTTCTACGAAAGCCGATATACAACCAATTTGTTTCTTTGAGAATAGCCCATTGCCATGTGCACAATGGTCAGAACTCCTTGGCGGAGGTTATCCCAATCGCACTCTCAATAGGGTCTCTGTTCGAATTGTGCAAATACACTATTCCCATAGAGACAGTATAGACATGGATGGCCATCTCTAAAGCACAGCAACTCCCGGTTACCCCAGTTGTGACCATGCCACATGTGGGTCTCGAACGACCGAAAAAGAAGCTTTTTTTTCTGTCGCATCCGTGCGGCCACTCCCATCATTCCACACGAGAGCCGTTCAGTGCAGTGAGCAACAGGATGTTCCTCTCTTCGAGTGTGGGGGTCTCGAACGTCAAGCGATCTGATCTCTGGGTCCGGGTTTTTCTCTCGGACTCACTGACACCAAATCCTAGGTCCTACGAATTGTCCGCAAAGAGACCACAGCCCAGCATCAGCTCAAAAACTCGTGTTTCGAGTTTCGAGTTAGATGTTTTTAGACTCTGACCACGAAGAAGGGTCGACGGAACAAGGTTTCTTTCCAAGAACTGTGTCAATTTGTTCTCCATCCGAGAGAATCGCAGAAATTACATGAAATCCCAGAATCCACTATAATTGGTTCCTTGAACTCAAACGTTATCTAGCCTCGTGGGCTCCTGTGGATGCTCTTTCTAGTCCTCTGGATGTCATCTAACCTGCAATAATGGAGCTAACGTCTGGGCGATCTCTGCACCTAAGAGGAGCTGAGTGCAGCCGAGCGGTTCAGCTGGTGCAGCCCTGCGGCCTCCAATTGCGCCATGTGACCGGTGACCTGTGGCCACTTCATCTGCCTATGTCTGTTCCCAATTCGAAATGAACAGAGGGGCTTTACTTATCTTGACAAGTGCGAACTCCCATGGTAGCGAATCTCTCTGTAAACTTCGCTTCAGACTGTAACCCACAAAGCAAACACTCTGAACACCTCTAAATCTCAGGAGTCTTTCCACAAGCAGGCTCTCCTAGCGCTGTTTGCACATCAAACTCAAAGCCAACGCAGGCCGCTCATCTTCACCCAGTTCCAAGCTGCCGCATCTCCAGTTTCCGGACTGCCACATTGCAGGTGCCGGCACAAATGGAAATTCCTGTTGATGATGACTGGTGCAATGAAATCCTGCATTGGTCACTCGTCACATCTTCTCCCTTCAACAGCGCACGAAAGAGGTAAGTCTGGGCCTTAGGCAAACGAACTCAGAAGGTAGCTTGCCAGGATCCAGATTTACTGTTTGTATCAAGGTCAGCGCCGTCATATCTGGGTTCCGTGTGGGACACTTGCACCAACCAACCAGGGCCCTGGTTGTTGGACGACAAACTAAACGCCTGCGGCCAGGTGGCCGAGCTTTCAATCGCTCCAGTGGCTCCAGTGATGTTCGGATACGTTGGTTCCAGTGTTCCACTTGTTGGCTGAAGGCTTGGAGCAACCTGGGATCATGGAAAACACCAGTCGCCACCCAGGTGTACTGTTGCGCCCGTCTGTGAATCGCAGGATTGGTGAAGATTCCTGCAGTTCTCGGTTTTGGAGCTGCGAACTGTACACTCTCGGCACGCCATGCAAGGCGGAACATGGCCCTGCGTTACGAGTCGTTCTTACGGGTCCATTGTCCACACAGCCTTGTTGTACCCGATTTCGGGTCTTATTTTTGATGGCAACATCAGTTGCTGCATTCCTGCGGATCTCTTCCATTCTGATCCCCAGGCTTGTGAGTGGTATCGAGTGGTCATGTCAAGGGTTCCTAATGTGGACAGCTTTTGGAGGAAACTTGGCATGAATGCAACCCAACGCAATGTGGAATTAGTGGGAACCAAGAGGAAAAACGGACCCACACACACAATAAAAAAGAAGAGAAAAACGAGGCTCAACACTCAAAACATCTCAAAACGATGTGCTTGTTTCAAAATATCAAAACGTCCGCCTGTTAAAGCTAGGGAAAGGACTGGACTGCATGTCGTGTAGATATGTCATTTCAGTCGGTGGCAAAGTCGGTGGCCCAATACCCATGAGATGATTCTATGATCCACGACCAAAAGTTGTGCCATCTCTTCTGTGTCTTATGTGCGTACTCATGTCCGGGCCAGCTGACTGAAAACTCCAACAATCTAAGAGCTAGAGGGAAGCCTGTATCAGTTGTCAGCAGCAACATCTGTGCAGCTTGCTGCGATCATTGACGCAGCTCTGCGACACATCGCAAGTTCGTATTGGGGTTGAGCAACTATGAGACTACGAAAATAGGCGAAAATCGGCCAGAATGCCTTTGGCTTCTACTTGTAGTTTGTTTAGTGAAAGAATCGCTGGCTTACCTTAGGTCATCCTCCACCCAGCAACGCTCCAAAGGTTGAATGGCAAAAGGGGATCCCTATAGGTGGTACGTACGTAGATGGTGGTAGGTACCCGCAGTACGAAATACCTTTTTTGCCCAGATCCATTCCTTCAGGTGGTGCCGGGGTGTAGCATCTCAAAGCTCGCTAACACCGAGTGAATCCTGACTTCTGGGGCATTGGGGAATTCGGATTTCTGGATGCGTTCGCATCATCCAACAACTCATACCGTATATACGTATTTAAAAACGGCTTCGATGACCCCCGAGAACTGCTGACAGATGGTACAGCTATATCGAAATTTTACATCGTTCAAAACAAATGGAGCCTCAAAGTTCGTGATGAGCAGGTGCCAAGAGCGAGGTTTTTCGTGACCAATCCAAAAGGACCATACTCGGGTACCTATGGTCTATATAGATGTCTATAGGCTTCTTCAACCATCACAGATCTCTCTCCGGTGCACCCTCTTTCAACCGAATCACCGAATAACCCAACCTGACGAATCCCAACGGGTACGCCTGGAGCCTGGAGGCCAAGGCCCAAAGCAACCCCTCACCCGGTGGCACCGGTCATCCTTCGAAAGAAATTGGCGAAGTGTCAAAAGACGTGACATCCAGGCTCCTGTGACATCTCGGCTGCCAACCCCCGAACTCTGCATCGAGGTCGCGTTCTCCGAGATCACTGGACGTAGCTCATCTTTGACTGAGCCAGTCGTACAAACCTCGAAAGCGTCGCTGGTGCCGGTGGGTTTGAGAAGTGGCCCCAGGCCATCTGTGACTTGGGGGGCATAGAGCTCCCAACATAGATTGGTCTCACGATTTGAATCTGACTTGAAATGCATCTTTGAGGCAGATCATGTCTACTTTGAGGCAACATGGCATATGAGCGCGTTGCCGTGACACTACAATTCGACTACAATCATGATCCTTGATTCTGATCCTCTCAAATACCCACCCTCACCATCTACCTCTGAGCCATTCGCGCAGCTCTGCGCAGCACCGCGAATGAAGCCGCATGGAGCCCAAAGACGCTGTCCCGTTCGGCCATCCCATCCCCCAACAACGGGAACGTCTCTGGGACATCAAGTCGCTTCCCAAAGCAACGAACCCGTGATTTCAGAAGCAAAACCCGTCCTTTTTCGACCAAAAAAACAAAGGCATGTGAGGGCACTTGTTCTTGGCAATTCAGCTCCAAGGCACCAAACATGATGGCAGTGTTGCAAGAGACCTTGATCAGCTCCGGCAGAAGTCCGCGATAGTGAAGATGCCTTGGCCGAGAGAGGCCCTCCCCCAGCAGTCGCAGGGAGGCCCCAGGGCTTGGCAACCAAACGCAGGAGCACGGAATGGACAACCAAAAGGGGGTCCAACCTTATTTCAAGACCTCAAAATGGATCGGATCTGACTGTAATGGAATGGCCTCGTGTTTTCACGAATCCCCGGACGTTTGGACATCAGGAACCACCCAAAAACGTGGGGGCTTTGTTGACTGTAGCGGTAGAGATGCTGAGAAGAACATCGTCGTCCAGAATTGGGGCTGGTGAGTCACTGATTGATCAACCACCTTGCCGGGTCTGGTGATTAGCATCTCAACAGGCCATGCATCTCTTACAAATCCTCCCACAAGCTTCGGAAGGTGTCAATTGGTGTTGCCATGGGACTTCTTCTTGCTCTTTACTTATGTCGACTGTGATTGTGTGTCAAAAAAAGGACTCCGTACCCTTTGCCTGCCCCCACCATCATCACCCATGTACGAGTACACCACACTCCATGACTCCTTCATCAACACCCCAGAGACGCCACACACAGGATAACCCACCGCTGAGACACAAATCCACCACTGCCGTCGCAGCTTTCGCTTCAAACCTCTCCAGCGAACCCAGGTTTCGCGGATTCGTGCGGAGGAGGCGGGGTTCAGAGGTCTTAAATCAAGGAAGGTCGTGAATGGTCTAGTTTGAGGGGGGCCCTCTGGGCGATGTTCATTGTATCCTGCCCGGAGTTCGTGTCGGACATGACGATGGACTCATGGACTTCCTCATAAGGCGGATGTCAAAAACTGCGCGGCGGTTTGACGACAGAGCCAAGATCAAACATGGAAGGCTGTTTGTTCCTGGTTTGGTATATGATACTAATGTCAGAAGCGTCCTGGTTTGCAAACCGGAGTTCATGACGACACGTTGACAAAGCACGAAGGGTCATGAAGATCCCACAGTCTGCCTAGGCATCTGAAGCCGCCTCTTCCACGAATCCTCGGCTGTCAAGAAGGAACAACAAGGTCCGGTCTGGGCAGTCAATGTTCTGTACTAAGCACAGGATCTTTGGTGTCCAAACACATGCCCTCTCCTTTCTACCGCTTAGGTGCTTCCCTAGAAATCTATACTGACCCTGTTTTAACAGCTGCACTGCGTTTGGGAAGGCAACCATCTGCAAACACAACTTCAAAAAGCCAGGAGTTGCTGGTACTAGCCACACATAGCCACACAAAACATTGTCGAATCAAGTCACTTTTATCCCGCATACCATATACCCTAACAAGAAGGGGCACCCCAAACCAGGAGTAAAAACTGGCCCGTGGACTAGGACCCCCAGAACCCCTGGTGTGGTACTCAAGAAATCACAGAACTCAATATGAAAAATCCTGGTCCTAATCCTTGTCAAATTCAGGAGTCAATGTATACAAACCCTCACTAACGTTGTTCAAGTGCGATGCCAAATGATGCATGATCACGAATCACCAGTCAGCGATGGCCTCCAACCTGAGAACCTAAGAGCGGCTAGACATCCCCGTTGCTCCAGGATACGAACGGGAAAAAGAGCGTCGAAGTGATACCACCGGCCGTGCCACCAGCGATGGCGCTCTCGCTGAGCCAGCCATCAGATCTGAGGCGGCCGCGACATGGACCCGGAGAATTGACCTGTGGGTTTCGACCTTTTTTCTCTGAAAACCGGTGAATTTTTGTTGGTTCCATATTAACCTGCAGGGGAGTATCTATATACTTCTTCCCAAGCAAAAGGAAGCGTTGAGAGGCTGCACCAGTTTAAACCAGCCACTTGCGATGGATTGCCAGGAAGACACCACGGTGTCCAGTTCAATGCTGTTGATGTAGGCAAACTTCCTGCTGAACTGATGTCATTCCCATCCAATCCCACTCAAACATCGAATGTCGGATTGTGACGTGGAAGTTTGGGGACCTACATGCGTCCATCAATAGTATCATTATCATGATGATTGTACACCTCGTCCAGCACTGTAGCACTTTTTTCTGTGAAAAGGGGCCACTGTTCCAAGGAATGTGAAGCCGACTCGTTCCAGCAGTTGTTCCACAAGGGGCCGTTGTGTTTTGTCTTGTGAAGAAACCGTTTAACAAAATCCTTTTGCACCTGCTGTGTGTGTCTAGAAAAATGTGTTCCGTGCTCCAAGGGTTCTCCCGTCAGAATACAGTAGTATACATTAGGGCTTGGGTGAGTTTGCCTCAGCTCTCATGAACACAAGCCCTGCATTGAAAAATATATTTGGCCAATCTGAAGCACCACCTTAGTTCAAATCCAGTTCTCAATACCTTCGCCTCTTTGATAAACCCTCCAGTGCAATTTCGTCATGTTCTTTCACATTGCACTTGGCTCCCCTTCACCCTTTTAGGCCACCAACGCCACCACGCCCGCCTGCTGCTGAGGGCCTTCACCAGCGGAAAAGACTTCAAGGTGTCTTTGAGATAAAAGCAACACGCCACCTGGGCATTGACGTTCCCACGCCAAGCACCGCACAGGGTGAAACCCGCAGGGTGTGCGGCTCGCCAGCGCGCGGTCGCCGGTTTCAACCCAGCTGAAAGATATTGGTCATTTATTGTGACTAATCATTCCAGCTAGATTGAACATACAACTCTATACTATGTGACACCACCCACCAGCAAGATTCGGACAATGCTGCCAGCCCACTGGAAATTCCATCTGGTTGTACAAAAAAAACAACACGGCCTATGTTACAGCAAATGCATATATTTGCAAATTTGGTACATCTTTGGTAAACATGACGCACCAGTCGACGTGGTTTGCAGATTGGATCTGCAGAAGTCTCCCAAATCTTCGACGCGACGCATGCAGGTGATCCCAAATCTTGCGTGATCTGAAAATTCGATGGCTGAACATGCTAATAAATGCTAATTCTGTGTTCTGCCTCTACGGTGCAGTAGTTAATTTGCTCCAAAGTCGTAACCCCTTTTGTGCTGATAGTTGGATTCTTAGTAGTGCGTGTGTATATTGAAAACACATCGAAACAAGGCCGCGCAAATCTGTCCTTGTTTGTTGAAATTGATCGAATGTCCCTTCATTTCGGAGACTCTTTCAGGCCATTAGTCCACCAGGATGTTACAATATCCGTTCCTATCATCTAAAGAAAGGGTGCGGTTTCAGCACATGGAAAAGGACAAAACTCAACCGTCGATATGAATCTCCAAGATCTCCCAAAAGCAGTATAAATCCCAAGCAGTGATCCTGCAGGCACCCCCGTCAGCTGGAGATTACAGGAAAGATGTCGGATTGCTATGGGGGTCCCCGAAGTGCACTGGTTTGTCACAGGTTTGATATGGCCTGTGTGTGGACCCCGCTGCCCTCCTCTCCCAGATGCTCGACATGCCACGTTGGGCACGACCGTCACCATTGAGACCCGAAAGCCTGCCTTGGCGCTGTCGGAAGACCCCAAAGCTATGAGGAAGACCGCTGATGACCGCTATCTTGGGGAAAATTCATGGAAAGGGCAGGGACACAATAACCATCCTGTGGCGTTTATAGACCCCCAAGACATTCCAAGACTATGTCTTTTCCATCCAAAAACCATCCTGTCAGTGGTGCTGGAGAAGAGTCGATCGCCGATCCTGTCTGATGAGTCTTGTGAACATCTTGCACTTCATTCTGATCACTTAGGGATGCATGTGCTGTGCTCCTATGGTTTCGATTGTTGTATTTGGACTCTCCCTCAGAGCTTTTGCCACCCAACCGGAGCTGTGTTTCGTCAAAGCACTGCATGTGTAGTACTGAAAGGCCAAATTCCGCTCCTGCACCACATGAGATATAAAAGGGCCCATTAAGCTGTGTTGTTGCAAAAAACATATTGAGTCAGGCTTGGCGGAGGAAAATGAAGCTGTTGGTGGTGTCAGTGGTGTGACGACGGCGCTGCTGTGGAAAAGGACACAATGGCATCGTGGAAAATGGGGTGGCCATGTAGTTCTCCCGTTTAACATGGCATGCTCATTCTATGAACCAAGTTTCAAACAATTTGATGTGCAATTGGGAGCTGTGTTTGGTGAAGTGTCCACTGCCGATTGGTGTTTTCCGCTCATTGCTCGATCCCATCGATTGAAAGACCATGCCCAGCAGAAATCCCTTTGCATATCTTTGCAACTCTGTAAACTGAAAACTCTGTACAGCAAGTTACACCTCGCCTGAAATCACCTTCTTCAGGGGATTTCCAACACTTCAAGTCCTCTCATCTATTGTCATCCCGAGCCTGACACTGCAGTACAATCACCCCTTCACGGAGCAGCCCAACCAGCTCGGTCCGGCTGAACTAGACATCACCTCCGGCCTAGAGGCATAGAATGCCATGAGGCCCTCTTCTGCATGCAGTCGACCAATGGTCTCCAGGATCCCAGAGTATCCAAATCCTCAAGCGGTCGGGTCGACGTGTCGTTTTGGGCTTCGGTCGGATCGCATGGGAGGGTCGACTGATCGACCGGATTCGGTGGACAGTTATTCTTTTCAAGCAAATGACTGGCCAAAAGCCGGGATCATCAGTTGGTCCTTACTTTGTACGGATTACCGGTTGTAGCAAAGGATGTCGGATCCCTAGCTGAAGCCAGGTATCCAAGTCGTTCAAGACCACAAATCAATAGATCTCAGCGACATAACCGTCTTTGCAATATGCCAGCAAACCATTGCAAACCTTGCAAACCAACTACTCTGACTATGATGGTTTCGGGTTTTCCCCCTTCACCCAAAGCCTTTCCTATAGCCGATGCCTGTGTGGCAAACGCCTTCTCTGTCATCAGATCTATGTGGTTTCACATAGACTAGTGGCAACTGGTCAGGGCGACCCGACAAACCAGTTGCTTGGCCAGCAGAAACCATGTATATCGAAGTCCAAGAATCCACACATTTTGTGGAATCCACGATGTCTCCATGTGTACCCTCACTCAATATCATGGTTTTGTGGACAATGGCCCTTGGAAAGGCACTGTTCCTCTACAAACAGGTGGGGTTGTCCATGTTTGTTTCAGGGAGGTTTTTTTGAGGCAAAGAAGTGGACGAAGTCCTACGCCTTCTAGTTGGGGCCAACTGTCTCTTGCTTACAACATAGGCCTGACAGCAAAAAAATACGATGCTACCTCTACTAGCAGGAATGTTCCATCAGTTTCTATGTTCATGGTGGCTTTGAAGAATGAGCAGAATCACTTTAGTGGCTGATTCAGTCCAGAGTTGTAGTGAAAAAGTGCAGAGCAATGTGTATGGCTACCTCTTCCTCACTCCACATAACAACCCCAAACAAAAAATCTAATCTCCAAGAATCTCCGAGATGGACACATTCCGATCATATTCCCCATTAAACCAATATATATAACTATATATATATATGTGTAAATATCAATGAAAACAGGTCCAAAGGCTAAGTGGCAAAGAAACCCAAACGAAACAACCTAGCGGGAGCTCCGCGGGCTTCTTTTCTCCTTGAGCCAAAATGTAGTAGGGACCACCGTGAGAATGACTGTACATGTATAACCCTGCATTTGAGCTGGATTATTTCTGTGCCCCCCTCCTTCGAAAGGGTAGTGTCCACACAAACTTGGCACTCCATCGAAAGTTTGGATCAAGCACTCATCGTGGCCATCGAAAGTGACGATCAGGTCATCGTGGAAAGGCAAGTCAGGCTAGGTTGCTGCGAAAACAAATTATGATATGGACTATGCACGCAAGGCTTGTGTACAAAGAGTTTGGCCATGTATCTCGGGGTGCATTGGCCGCTTCTCCAGTCGCACAAGGGTGACAGTACTTTCTCATTTGTGAGAACTGATCTCATATTCCAACCTAATTTACAAAGGCACGAAAGATACACTTACAGGGCGCGGCAAAGCCAGCAGCACACTGCAAGGGCAACGAACGGCACCTCTGCTTGCAGCTTTGGTTCCTACCAAGGAGCGGCCAAAATGGCCAAGCAACACCTGAACTAATCAAGGTCGGCTCAACAAGGGTCGGATCTATTTCTGGCAATTGTTGCGATTTCTGACATTTGTTGCGATTTCAACTTTTGCTTGGGTCAAAAATTCCTATCATGTCTAAGGCCGATTGCCACTTATGAACTTCCAGGCTCTTAGTGAACACGTCTGCTGCCTGTTGTTCTGTAGGACAGTGCTGAATGCTTATGTCTGGTTCTTTGAAAGCATCATACAACCCTTGAACATTTATCTTGTGTGTTTTACCAAGATGTCTTAGGCGAGCACTGTATCCGTTTCTGATCACCTGTATAGTGGCAGTGTTGTCCTGATGGCATGTCAAAGGAATTGGTGAATCAAGCAACTGCGACATGAACTCTTGTGCAGGGATTGCATCACTGAACAATGCACTAGCCAATGCAATGGCCTCCGCTTCAGTTGTCGAACGGCTGCAAGCTGTTTGACGTTTGGACTGAAATGTTATAGGAAAGAATGAACCTCCACCAGCGATGGCGAGCAATGACCCTGATGTGGAATATCCGTGGTCTACCTTTGAGGCATGGTCAGCATCCGTGAATAACCACAAACCCCATTCTGCATCTGGATCAAGTTTCAACCTCATCCTATAGTGCTTTGTTCCATTTAGATAGCAAAACACCCTGAACAACCTTCTGTCGTCATTTCTGCTCCACTTGGTAATACGTTTGCTGAGTTCATTCAATGCATGTAGCAAATCTGGACGGGTAAGTCTAGCCAACCAATAGGCTTTCATGATTAGCCTGGCGGCCGAACTCGCAAGACTACCTTGGCTATCCCAATCATCAATAGGAAGTGTACTTTCATCCAGATACGGGGTTGGGGCCTTCTTGAACCCTTTGAACTCTTTGCATTCCTGTTCGTACACTTTGCAGGCGACTTCTGCAAAGTCATGCATGTCTAGCTGCACTTCCCCTTCCTGAATCAAGTGTGTTCTCCCTAGAACCTTTGTGACTTCCTGCGGAGGTTCAAATTGAAGATGCTTCTCCAACTCTGACCAGAAAAATTGATGATTTTCTCTCGGGCCTGACACAACAATGTCATCAACGTACAATGTGACCAACAGGCCCCACTTTTTGATGATAAAGTTGGATGGGAATAATGCTGACTCTACACCGTTCATTTGTGTCATCAAGCTTTTGAACTTCAAACCCCAATGCCCCCCTGACTCGGGGTGCCCGTACAACGATTTGTGCAGCTTTGTGCATGGTCTGCGCATCCATTTGAGGTGATCTGGAATCAACTCATCTGGCAGTTCGATGTACGTGTCATGTTCTGTTTGAAGATCACTTTGGATATAAGCTTTGGTAACATCTGATTGAGTCGTTTTGTTTCCTCTCTTCAGTCCGAAGGCTAAATTTATGTTAAGCCCGGCAATTGTAGTGGGTATGAGTTTGATTTCTTGAAATTCACTTGCAAGACCAAACTCGTCCCTCACATTGTTGCCAAGAAAAACTATTCTAGCTTTTAGTTTCTTGTCTTTTTCTGATTCTGCATTCTTCCAACTCATAATTGTCATGAGTTTCCCAATCGCAATCTTCGTTCCTGACTTCCTAGATCTGTGTTCGAGCTCGTGTCTCTGGACAACATTCTTGTAATCCCATGTCCCCGCATCTATCAAACCTTGAGCTTCCTTCTTAGCTTCACTGAGTGCTGCAGGGTCGTCCTTCCAGACCTTCCTATCAATCAACTCATGAATGCTAATGGGAATTCCTTCAAGCTCAACTTCTTTTGGGACATGCACTGGATTTTCAGTGATTGACTCGCAACTCATACAAGGAACGAACTTGTGATACAACTCGGGAAACAATGATGAGATGATACCTTCGCACATTTGCATTGGATAGAATGCTGATTTTGGTGTCTTTGATCCGCACAAGTGCACATGTTTATGGCTACGGTCACATGTTTTGGTTCTCAGGCTGCGAACTAAACAGTCATCTGTTGATGCTACTGTCCATGGCTTAAATGATTCGCCTCCAACCATGCAACCATTGAAATGCGCAAGCTGAAAGTTGTTTGAGTTGAAGAAATCCTGAAGCTCTGGAATCTGCCAGCCGGAACACCCTGTTGGCCATTCGAAGTGAACCCTGCCACCACGCCTGAGGATTATTGCGGACAACTGGAGGAAAATTTTCAAGAGTTTCTTGCTTTCCAACCTTTTCAACATTAGCTTCCTACGGAATGCTGGACCTAACTTCTTGCAGTTCACGTGTTGCCATCTAGACCAAGGGTTGCATGGTAGTGATCCCCAAAGGTCAACACCGTTCATGGCATCCGAATCCAACACTTCCAATAGCTGAGATTGCACTTCAAGCTCTGAAACCTTTCCGTTGCTTTCTGTCAAACGGATGTGCTTTACTCCTACGGACTCTGAAACCTTTCCAAGATTAGATTGTGGGCTACAACAAAACTCTATCATAACACCATATGCTGGCAACAACTTTTGGGCAAGTCTTTTCCCTTTCTTACCACACTGGATGGGGCGCGGCGAAGCCTGCAGCTCACCATCCTTTGCTTCGACTGCTCCGGCAGGAACGTCCGATGCCTCGGGATGCAGCTGAAAGATTGTCTGACCTGTCCAAAATTCCTTGAGTGATTTGTTGTTACCTCTCCAATGCTCATCATGGATTGTTTCCTCGACACCGCTTTCAAAGTACTTAACTTCGGTGGTTCTAGCTCCAAGTCTTTTTGCACTTACTGGAAGATCTTCAGGCAATAAGGGATTAAAGAGCTTCTTGCGTTTCACATGGTGGAATCGAGTAAGCAGGTCACCTTCAAGCTTCCAAGAATCAACACCTTTTGCAATGCCCTTGGGAAGTGTAAACTTACCCCCCCTGATTAACCCATCAAATCTTTCTCTGCAACTGGATGTATGGATTCCCTTTCCCTTTTCACAAGCTGAACAACCTGGACTGAAACCATATTGCATTAGTCTGGAGAAAGTAATGGCTTCATGTTTGGAATGGACTTTTGGTTCATCCAAAGGATCGTCTGCAAAGATGTCGTCTAATTCTGGCTCAACTTCCTCGCGACTCACCTCTTCTTCCAATGCCCTAACATCATCCTCCAAACGCAGTACAGGTAAATCCTCCAAGGATTCTAGCTTCTTTTGCACGGCTTCACGCAAGGGAAATTTATCTTCACCAGTTTGCACAACAACCATTGTAGTGAGAACTTGAAGACCAGATTTTCCTTCCAACCATGATTTCACATTCTGAACATCACAAACCAAATATGTGCGCTTCCATTGGATCCCTGCCTCAATTCTCCAACCAAGGAACAAACCGGCTGATGTTTTGGCACCGAGTTTGGATTTAGGGGCATTGGGTTTGTAACTGATCAACGCACCAAAAGGAATGTGAAGACCTGGAAATTCATGGTCATGGAGTTTGTCCCAATTGCTAATGGTTGAGGCCGAAGCTGCATAACGAATCGCCAACGGCCATAATTCATTGAAGTTGCCTACTTGTACTAAACAACACCGGGTGACATCCTCGAGAGTGCGAATGGCTCGATTGATGATGGCGGTTTTCCTGTACGGGACGGTTGCATCATACACGAGACCTAGTTGACTTGCTGTCGACTCATACTCAGGAGTATTATCTGCATGAAATTCCACCAATGGACGTTTACCACCAAAATGCTTGAGTGCCTTGACACACTCTTCTGTGCTTTTGGTAGCTGCTGGATACGCCATTACGATTTTAGTGAAATCATCAAGCAAAACCAGGCATTTCGTTTCTCCTTTCAGCCCTTTCTTAGAACCATCCAACCGATGTTTAGCAACGATGATGTGGTCTGCATGGATCCTATCCCCAAAGCTTTTGCTAGGTTTGCTATCGTTTAATACTCGATCACCTTTAACACGCCTAGCAGGAACAGCATCTTGCTTTGCTTCTTGACAAATGGGGCAATCCGCTCTCTTGGGAAGATGTAAAATGGAATGATTCGACGAATGCTCCACAGCCTCTTCGTCTGGCGGCGCTGCTGCGCCTTCTGGTGCTAAGCTTGGCTCATACCCATCAGACTCTTCCTCTAAGGCTTTTGACGAATCACCTAAATCATTCTTTCCATCGACCTCCCCGGGCATATGCAGAATACTCACCCTTTCTTTGAACAATGGGACGTTTTCTCGAACTTCACTGGCGTAAAAGCGGGATGCTTCTGGGCAACTTACCTTTAAGTCCTTAATGTTACTGGGCTTCACCAGGAATGGCTTTGGCAGCTCAGCGTCCTCAGAAACATCATGGCTATCACGTGGCAACCAAACGAATGCTTTCCCTTGCCGAACTTGATCACCTATGGACAAAGCCCATGGACTGTTTTCCAGCAAGTAGCACTCATTTGACCCAGAAAGTTCACCAACCACTCTACAAGAATTAGATCCATCTCTTCGCCCACCACCTGTTGAGAAAGTAACTGGCAAATTGGATTGTCCAATCATTTCAGGATCAACTTGGCTAACCCCCCCAATGTTGCGGCCAGCACCGGTGTCACCCAACCAAGTCACTTCTCCGGTTGATGCATTGAAGCTGGTAAACGGCACCTCACACGATTGCATTGGCAATGACTGGACCTGATTGTCAGGAGTTGGAATGCCGGGATTACACATCAATGCAAAAGACGTCACAACAGCTTTAACGATCCTTGGGACAACTGCTGAGGCGGCTGATGGCAGGTTTCCTGCAGCAACTGCAAATGCGGCAGCGACACTTGAACTAGCTTTAGGCTTGGCCTTTGACTTAGCTTTGGCGGCTGGGTCATGCACGAATGGGCATGGGTCCCTCCTGCAAGTGCCACTTGGGTAAAACAGGCATGGTGTACCTTTCTCACCCGCAACCACGTCTGTCTTATCCTTATCCCCCTTCTTACCACTAGCTTGGCTTGAGGATGAAGACTTGGGTTTAGGATTGGCTTTTGCCTTGGGCGGAGCCTTTGAAGACGAGGCAGCTGCAACATCAACACTTGTCTTTTCTTTGGACGAATCTGATTTCTCTTTCTTGACTTTCTTATCTTTCTTTTTGTCTTGCTCTGCGGAAGCGGCTGCTGCATCGACTTTAGAGCGAAGAGCATTCAGGATTGATGCGGTATTATGATCATGCTGTGATTCATCAATGCAGTCAATCATGGATTGCCATAACCATTGAAATGATCTGATAGGGTCACCAGCATTTGCTTCTTTGTACCGATCAATTTTCAACGCTAGCTTTGGGACATTCTTTAAGCATTCGTAAATCCAAGTCCTAAGGATTGCTTCACTAGGATACTCCGAAGTTTCGAGGCTTGACAGCACGAATTCAACCCGATCCCTGAAGACTTCCAAATCCTTGATCTCCACACCCTGGGGCTTCAACGCCAGTAGATGTTGCTGACTCAGACTCATTCCACGCTCTTTGTCGAGACGAAACTTTCGGCAAATTCGTCCCAACAACAAATGACCCTGCACTTGCTTTCCCAAACGCACACTTCTCTCCTGAAGAGCTTGGAAATCAACCCCAAACCGTCCACCTTTTGCAACCTCTAGCAACTTAGATCCTAAGACCCGATTGAGAACTGGAAAAACATCTGATTCTTTTTCTTCACCGACTAGAGGGCCACTGAGCCATGCTAGCAACTCTTTCTCGCTGCTTCTGCAACATGCAACCAGTTGAGAAATCAGTGTATTTTTTCCATGTCCTCATCTCTGCAGCTGACTTCGGTAGATTGGGGACTTTGATTTTCTCGTAAGCCTTCAACCGCATTAATTTTCTTTCGTTCTCATACTCGGGGTCATGATCCGATGATGAAGATGAACTTGCAGACACGCTGGATGGAGTAGACTTCCTCTTACTCTTTCCTTTCTTACTCTTACTCATCTCAAGGTCTGGACTTCCTCCTGAAGAACAGCTAAAACTTGATTGATAGAACCATGGGATTCAGATTGCGCATTGGCCGGCTCATCGTCACCGAACAAATCAAAAGATTCGTCACGCTGATGTGTTGGTGGTTTCTGCACTGCTGGTCCCAACCCTGGATTTGCTCCAACCTGACCTCCGCTTGCGGGCAGGGCGCGGAATGAACCGCTGCTCTCTGCCGCTTGCAATCTTCCCACGAGTTCCTGATTGAGACGAGTGAGATGCGCGACCTGATTCTGCAATTCAAGGATAACTGACTCATCCCTGCGTTGAACTTGGTTCCTAGCATCTTCAACCGATTGGGCATGAACCCTTTCTGCATTTTGGATGGTTTCAGCCAACACCCTCTGGTGAATGGTTTCTGCCTCTGCTAAAGTTTGGCTTCTTACGTCACTAGCAACACGGGCACTAACATCTTGGACATGTTCCCTGGATGCTCTGGCCATGTCTTGGACTACATGTTGATGGCGTGATTCAGCTTCAACAATAGCTTCATTCCTAGCTGCTTGACTGGAAACCCTCCAAACTTCATCAACTACTTGGTGATGTCTTGACTCTGCTTCTGCAATTGTGGCACTACGAACTGTATCGGCAAACTGTTGGGCTGCTTCTGGACTAATTCCTACTTGAATGGATCTGGCATCGACTGATCTAGCATCAACAAAGGTTGCACTCTGCGCATGCAAAACCCTCTGACCTTGACCTTGACTGGGATTGGCAAAATCTTGGACCCTACCTACCCTGCTCAATCGATGTTCTTCCTCATCCAAATCAAAAGGGACTAATCTACCAGCTTCCAATCCTGACACATCACTGGCACCATCCGAGGCTTGATACGGACCTAAGGACCTCGACCTGCGGTTTGCTACCCTGTGTTCATCCCTAGCTCTTGGAACCAGGTCACGGTGTCTAGTTGATTGAGATGCATCCCCAACCGAACTCACCATGGATTGGTCGACTGTTGCAACTGCCAAATGCAATTCGCTCGAACCACTGGATGTCTGATTTGTTGACATTGTGTCTTTTGTATGATCTCTTACTCACGCACCCCTTCCACCTGCAATCCCTTTCACTTGCGATCCTTCACCAAACCCGATGGGACTCCTTTTGGCTTCACCTCACGATCCACTTGACCACCAGCTTGATCACGCAACTGCCGAATGATCTCCTCTTTGTGAGTTGCAATTCCAAAATCGCGCCTGACTTCAATCGCAAAGATACCAGAATCCCGGTACTGCCGAACAACCTCTCTCTGATCGTCAATCGCAGCTACCGCACTGAGCTCTTTTGCAAGACTGGCCTTCTGATCGCGATTGTAAATAACAAAGATCACAGGAATGACTGCTGCCAATTCGCTCTGAATCAAAGCCTCAATGTACTCACCACTTGCCGCCTTTCCGATGAAAGAACACGCGCAAAAAGTGAACCCGTTCCTCTGAAGCTCAAAGATAAACGACAGCGTCCCCCGTTCGATCGTCTGGAATTCGCCCCGGTGTTTTGCAAGTCTGATTGAATCTCTCGATGAAAGTCGCTCCGGAAAAATCACCGTCTTATACAAATCAAGAACCACGCAACCTTTCAAGGACTCAAACAAATCGCTCGCCGAATCAAGATAGAATTCGCCTTGCTCGTCCCGAAATGCAACTTTATTCACAATCACGCTTCCGGAAATCCACCTCGGCAAGTCGAAAACTGCTTGATCAACACCACGTGACACTTCGCTCAGCCGCCTCACTGAGATGTAGTCACTCTCCGTCCCACCAGCTTCGATCACCTCCTTGCTCACTGAAACCTCCTCTTCCGATGAAATCTCTTCAACAAAGGCACTGTCGGGAAAATCAACCAATCGCACCGATGAAGAAGGACCCACTTTCTGAGAAGGTTTCGCTGGTTGATACTTAGCACTAGCGCTCGGCTTAGGCACAGCAACAACCCCGGAACTCGAAGATGACGAACGAATCTGCGGCGCCGCTCCAAGATCAGAAGAAGTTTGAGTCGCGTCCGCGGTACTCAAGATGTTCTCCAACTGATTGCTAAAGCCCTGTGCGAATTGATTCCGACGCTTCTGACGCTTCGCACTCTTGCCGCCCCTCGGTCTCGGACGCCTCGTGTGCATTCACTCGTCGACGCGATCAACCAAGCGTATCGAGAAAACTCAAATACCAAAGGATCGGCTGAAGACTTCAGAAATGGCACCGCGCGGGCGAGGGTAAAATGTGAATATATGGAAAGGGAAAGTATGTAGGGGGAAAGCCAGTACGGCTGATAACCCAATGAAAACAGGTCCAAAGGCTAAGTGGCAAAGAAACCCAAACGAAACAACCTAGCGGGAGCTCCGCGGGCTTCTTTTCTCCTGAGCCAAAATGTAGTAGGGACCACCGTGAGAATGACTGTACATGTATAACCCTGCATTTGAGCTGGATTATTTCTGTGAATATATAGAACCGGGTTCCCCTTCTTCATCATCCTCCCCTGAGCTTTGATCATCCATCCCAGCCATGACCAAGCCACGCTGGGAGGCGGAAATTCGTGTCTTGATGACATCAACCGGATGGCCGATACAAATGCCTCGGCGGCTCCGCAAACAGGGGAGGGAACAGGTCGTGGGGGCGGTGGGGGCGACAGCGAATCCGTCGTCGAAGACGTCCACCAAAGCGAATCCACCGTCGTGTGAGGCTCGCCGTGGCGCATCTCTTCAGTGTGTTTCTTCAGAGACCACTGCATCAGTCAGCTTCGTGTCGGCTAGAATGAAGACGGGCTCGCCGCCAAGAGGCCGGCGAAGGACCCCGCGAAGGCGCTCACGAAGTTGCGGGCCTCTTGAGGCTGCCTGAGGTGTCCGAACCAGTCTGGAGGCCTGAGACCTGAAGTCTGGGAAGACAAGCCCCGGACAATTCGCAATTTTCAGGGAACATGGAGATGATATGAGATCATATTTCAGAAACTGTTTCAACTGCAGTACTACCTCTCTTCTATTTCGGATCTGGTGCAACATCCACAGGATCTAACCATCCAGCCGCGATGAACCTGTAAAGAGGGGTCAAATGGCCAATTGAACGCCCGAGCAAATCAAAGGCTCTCAGAGTGGGCAGGGTTTAATTAGTGAAGACCCCATTCAGTTCCGCTGGAAGCCTCTGAATCGAAATGGTTTGTGCATAGGTCCGAGGGCCTGCAGCCTGTGAAGCACAACCGACAAATCCAAAATGAACTGTCTCTCTCTCTAGTGCTAAGGACCTGCGTTCGATGCCATATCGTAATAGCATATAACTCGGGTGCGACTACACGTGCCGTGGACCATTTTCCTCGCTTTGCCGTCTGAGAAAGAGTCACTTGGCCCGCCCATCAGTAGCCGCTTGACCAACTGCGCCAACTAGCTGGAGACCCACGATCATCATAATCCGAATAGTCATAGCGGTCATAGTGGTTCCGATAAAAGAAATCCTGGAAATCCTCTTCAACGTCGCTCTCTGGCTCCGACTCTTCAGTGCAAACGATCGAGACCATCTCGGGCAGCAGTGCTGCAAGCGTGCTCTCTGACAGCTGCTTGTTGCCAGCGAAACACTTCACCACACGGCACTTTCCTGGGCTTGCTGGAGGTAGGAGTGCACGCAATTGATCATAGACTGAGTCCAATCTTTCCAAGGGACCCATGGTCAGCTCCGTCTCTCTTCCTGACATCTCCACAAAGCGGATGCTTCGTTCCACGATGCTCTTGGTGGCAATGGACTCCAAAAGTTGTTCCCAATGTGGGAAACTGTTCTCTCGGAGCGCTCGGCCAACAAGCTCATCTTTCTGACCATCATCTAATTCGGCCAGAAAGCGCGTGACATCAGCTGCAGCTTCTGGGTCTTTGCCCGCCATGGGCAGCGTTTTTGACAAGTCCGAGGAATCTCCTCTGTGTTTTCCCTCGTACAAGTGCTTGTACAGCTCTTGAGCCAAATGGAAAAACAGCCCGTCAGTCAGGGCGTCTGTGTGTGTGTGTGTGTGACAAATTGCATAAAAAGGCAAGGCATGCCTTCCAGGGGCTTACCTCAAGCACAAAAGGTTGTTGTCGCCATCTACGCTGCTGTGTTACTCACTTGTATATGGAAATGGGTGCAGCTTCAACCACCAAAAATGTTGAAGGAAATTCTACCTCTCGTTCTGAGCAAGTCTGAGGCTCAGAAATTTTTGGAATTGAAATCAAATGTATTGAGTAAAGATATGTAAAGATCAAATAGGAGAGATGTCATAAAGCCCACTCCTGTAATCATGCCTGTATCACGCAGTTTACTCTTTACAATGCATTTACCCTCCCATGAGAGAACACGGACACTTACCACCCCGGAGTAAAATCATCTACAGAGTAACCAAAGCTGCCAGGGCTTTCTCCCGGAAAGTCGTCAAGTCCTCCATCATCCCCATTTTTCCGTTGGATTCCAAGCATGGCTCTTCCACTGGATGAACATCTTTATTGGAGGTGGGATAAGCCTCATGTTTGTGCCAAGTTGCTCTTTGAGATACCGCTTACCTTAGCCAGAGAGTAATCCCCAAACGTTACTGGACGGCAAAGTCTCCAAACGAATCAACGCGCGAACAGGGAGAACCCTCGCCATTTAGGTGTACTGTTGTCAGATTGTTTTCTTCATCTTTCTTTCTGAAACCATCGAGTTCTTCGGCATTCGATTTGGCTCAGCTGGGGGTCTTCTGAAATCTTTGGATTTGCAACTCATGTAAAAACTCGACTATGTATTGTATATATATATATGTATATATGTATATACATGTTGTTTCATACCATTTGGAAGGTTGTATAATGTACAGTAGTCCCGTTTTCCTTCGTTCTCACACTTGTCCAATGTGTCTCACACTTGTCTCACACTTCCACCATCTTCAGACCCTCCATTTTGGTTCTCGTTTTTGTAACTTGATGCACCTAAGGTGGGATCAACGCTGAATCAATAGAATTCAATATGCTGCTTCCATGCTTGCATATGACTCGTATGACGCATCTACCGTGTGCGTCCAAGCTCGCTGAGTTTTTCCCTGTGTCTGTGCACACTTTCTTTATATACAACAAATCAACTATGTTCTCATCGAGCCTCGTCTCCTTGGTTGCATGATCTGCCAGGTCATGACCCCTGTATAGTGAAGAGCCCAAACATGATTGTGGCGTCAGCATATGACCAGTGTGATGAAGGTTTATGGATGTGCATCGGGTCTGGTGGGGCCCGCTGTCCGAATGAGGTCCATGTAGGAGTGGTTGCTCGGCCGGATCAAAAACACCATTGTGAATGTAATGAACAAGGTTGATATTAGTGAGTCAGTATACATGTGAATATATTGTCACGTCACGATCTATATTATGTGGCAAGGAATTGTGCAGTCCAAATCACGGCCACAAGTTCCGCGCTACTGTTGTGGGCTGAGTCAGGACTTGGACATCGGCGATGTAAGAAATTGTACATGTCGGATACTCCGGCGCCCAGAGGCCATTGCTTCTAGGTTGGAGGCCATCGCTTTCAGATTGGAGGCCATCGACATATTTTTTCTTACTTCCTTCAACTGATTAGGTCTTCATGACGGTGCTGGTCTTCGTCACACATCCCGAAGGCATGATATATACTCGACCAAATCCTGCACTTTGCCTCACGCAGGAGCCTCATAATGTGTATAATATAGCATATATCTATAGATATATAGTATATTATAGTATAAATATAAAAGAAATAGACCTCAAAGCTTCCGGGTCCTGGGGCTGAGAAGCTGACCTGTTGCCATCCACAGCAAAAGCGGATTACCGACTGCCGCGGCGCAAAGTTCATTCACGGGGAAGTTCACACCGTTCACCACGCCCCGATAGAGCAGCGTCGCCCCGTTCCCTCGCTTCGTGTAGCGTGGTGGCGGTGCTTCAGGGAAAAATCTCGTTGAAAGCAGAGAACGAGACAAGACATACAACGAAACGACCTGACCTTCATACCCCAAATGAGAGGATCGGACCCACCGCGTAAAACGACATGAAAACCCACACGAGGACATGTCCACCGGCTTCGAAAGGCGTCCCCACCGTGCAGGGTCCAATGCATCGAACGTGCGTTGGAAGAAAAGACATGTTGGAACGACATCCAATGGTGTTGTTGCACTCTGTCAGTGTTACGAAAGATGGATTTCATGTGGTGGAAGATCTAACAAGTTCCCCAGAGTCCACTGTGAAATTTGGCATTGTTTGATATTGTTTGGATAGAGCGGCCTGCCACAGTGAGTTGCTCTGTTCGAGTGACTTCTTGCAGACCGACCAAATCTCCCTGCGATCTCCTCACAACAAACACTATAGGGATTTTATATGATGTTATAGATCCATAAGCCTCTGCATCTGAGTCATCTCTCAAACTTGCACAATGACTGCCCGCCTCGCCAGAAAGCCCGAATGCCTCCCTCCTGGTAAATGCCGCGCATGGTGTCAAGCATGCTGCCAGTGTGGTGCAGGTGATGCAACTGCATCTGGATCACCTGATGTCCATCGAGCTGGAGGTGCGGATGGACTGTGGACCGGGAACGGAAGCAGATCTGTTGGCCAGACCTCAACGAACACCCAGTTAGCTACTTTGATGTAAGCAAACGGGGTTCACAGAGGCTAGGGTTGTCAGGATGGGTGCTGATAGTGACTCTCATAAGGCAGACAATCTTTGCTAGATAGATGTTGATAATCTGGTTGCAGGAAGGGTCCAACGTTCTCCTTTACCGAGACTGGTGTGCGAGATCTTGGTGGGCGTGAAGATGAGGAAGCCTATTTCGACGGAAGATTGCCTTGATTGAGTGGCGTCGACAGGAGAGAGACGGAGGCATGGCCACCAACAGCATGAATTCCTTCTGCGTGAGGGTGAGGGCCGGGTTGGTCAAGTAAGAGACAGTTTCTGCACACGACTTCTGTGACCAGGGTCTCCTGCAGGATGATTGCGTCTTACGGAGGGTCTCCTTGACCCTGGCCTTGTGCAGCTTTTGATCGACACTAACTGGAGACAAAAGCTACAGTATATACCTTGAGACCAGGTATCCTGGCCTTGTATACCTTGAGACAAGGTATGAGAAGCAATATATCCTGGCCTTGTGACAAAAGCTGCAACATCGCAATAGAATACCTTGAGTCACCTGACGAAAAACCTTTCGACTGAGACTTACCAAACTGTTCCTTTTCGGCCGCTGGTTGACATTTCAACGGCTCGCACGAGAGTAGAGCTCAAAGTGATTCCTGAGGTTTACCTTCGAGAATTGTCTCTACTCCCGGAATGATGCCGGCCGAAAAATGAGATTCTTAGACTTAGTATACTAGTAGACTATAGTAGACTAGTGCTTATGTGAGTGGACATCTTGCAACATCATTATCATCACTGTTCAATCCTTAAACCTTACATGCCACAAACCCATCACAGCCCAAGCCACCCCTTGCTTCAAGCTTCCAAACAAAGTCCTTGAACCCACCACCATAGCCCCCCAGCTGGAACAAAAAGAAAGGAAAAACAGAGGTGGGTGTGTATTTGAATGGGGAGACTTCTATGGGTAGGCCCCATGAGGTCTATTTTCATCTTGCAAAACCATCCAGGCACTGCCCAGTCACTGTGCGGCTCAAAGGCGCCACCATGCTCTTGGCCGTGCACCCAGCAATGGCGCCCAACAGCGGCGAGGCCACATGGAGCTTCTGTGCGGAGTGACAGCTGAGCAGCACGAGTTCGGCACTGATGGGGCATCCCAACATCCAAAACAAAAGGCGTCCGAAAAAAACGGTGTTCGGAAAAAACACAAAAAAAACAAGGGTTTCCTCTACAAACGAGGAGGGAATTTGCACTTCCGTGTGAGTGAGTCCGAGGGCTATCCGTGTGTTTGATGTGTTTTTCTTCGCGAGCGCGGAGATTCACGAAGGTTCCGACGGTGAGAAGACCTGCAGACCTCCAGCCGCTAGACCTGCAGACCTCAAAGTCTGAAATTCACCAAGCTGGTGGCGCCATGCATCACCTTCTTCCTGGTCGAAAACACAAAATCGTAAACCCACCATGAAATCCACGCCCGACATGGGCCACATGTGCATAATGTCCTGGACAAGCAGGTTCGAATTCGATACCGGCACGTGGGTGACGTGTGGAAAACGATCACACGATCGGGTGACGACACCGACACCGTTTCCATCTGCGGTTCTTCCAGCACCCACTTGGTACTACCAGGAGCCCCTAGTAGCGTTCTTGCTCCTAGTAGTAAGGAGCCCCTAGTAGCTTCTTGCTCCTAGTAGTAAGGCCAGGAGCCCCTAGTAGCGTCCTTGCTCCTAGTAGCAATGCCAAAAAACAAAACAAACCACAGAAGTCCGCATCAAGTCCCCAACTTTCCACGCAATCTCCAGCTCCCCGACTGACCATGCATGGCCATGCCTCCTTATCCTCATTCGATCGCTGACTCAAGCGGTGTCGATAGACCGCTCGCTGGTGAGGTGCACCTGGCAGGTTCCCAGTTCATAAGGCAGGCCACGTGAACTCCGACTTGAGAGGAGGGAGACACGAAAGGTAGGACAGCGGGAAGAGAAGAGAACGTGAGAGGCAGGAACAAGAACAAAAATGCAATGTTCGACATGGTGATTTATCCCCTCGGAGGCGACCTTTCGTAAATATAATTCTATATGCACTCGAAATGTTCAAACATATGCTCTCGAAATGTTCAAAAGATTCTTAGGAAAACAAACTTGCCCCATGGCTCAGAGCATCAGTGAGCATTGAATCGGAGCATCATAGGATTTGAACTATCCTGAAACCATAAGAGGCTCACGAAGACGTTCCCCAGGAGAGAATTGACGTGCTTCACAAAACAAACTCTAGGTATGGATCCCCTCAGGAAACACCTTTCGTGATTAGAATATCATATGCACTCTTTCTCAATGTTCAACCTGAAATCATGAGAGGCTCACCAAAACGTTCTCCAGGAGAGAATTGAATTTAGAGAGGGGGGGGGTCGATATTGAAAAATCAATTCCCCGGGGGGCGGGGGGGGTCTGTATTGAGAAATCAATTCGAGGGGGGGGGTGGATTGAATGATCAATTATTAGACCCGGACGCGCCAACACTTGCTTCGCAAGACAAACTCTAGGTATCCCCTTAAGGGCTACCTTTCGTGACTTGCCCACTTTCTTGGGTTTCAGGTCCAAAAACCATCCCTACGGTTGACACAAGACCTCCTTGCACCATTTGGACACATCACTCATTCACACTGACAGACCAGCCCGGAAAAGCCCTATTCAAGGTTGTTGGGTCATGCAGGCAGGTGGTGCGGGATTTTTGTAAATGGGACCTTTGCAGGCTTTAATGCCGGACCAAGCAATGCTAAAAAGAGACTGCGAGGGTGTAATATATGAGCTTCGCAAAAGTGGTGCAGGATTTCTTCCGTCAACAGTTCTGGATTCTTGGCCGAAACTCCGCATGATAAGATGAGAGCACCGGCAAAAGCTATATGTACAGTATATTGTCCTGGCAAAGGGCGCAAATGTGAAACTCAGCATCTGACGCCATCTCAATTCTACCCCCTGACAGTTCTTACCACAGCAATCTACCAGGAAAAGCGTTGAAGATCATCTCTTTCAGGTCGTATTTTCGTTTGGGAGGGAGCGCCATCGCAGGTCTCAGCTGCTGCCTGCCTGGGAGGTTGCTGGCACAGACCTGCGCCATGCCCTCGGTGGTACCACGGGAGAGAGTTCGGAAATACGTGGAGATAGCATACACAATTTCGAATCCCTGGGAAACTGATAGAGATAGAATTGATAGAATCTATTAGAATTTCTGTGCTATCATTTGATATTCATGTTGTTGAGAGTGAATCAGCTTCGTTGACTTGGGAATCTGATATTCCTGTAGCTCTTTGAGTTTCCACGAAGGTGTTCATGTCTCCTCGGTGGCCAGCTGGTCCAAACTCCAACGCCCTACCTGTCCAGTCCCTCTTTGCAGTGGTAACCATGTGTTTTGAGGCTTTGAGGTTTCCAGTGGTATGCAACTTGAAGAGTAGGGAAACACACGTGGGCACCATGTTCTTACAAAACCCCCCCACCTATCCGTTTGTTTCCAACGCCATCGCTATTGGGTTGGAGGCCATTGCCAACATCTTCCAACAATCCGAAAGCAACGACCCGAAGCATGAGGTCCCAGCGTGCCCCAGGAACGCGCGACAGCTGGCAACGGCAGAAAAGGAGCTTGAGAGGATCACGTGGCGCTGTGACCGGCTGCCGGTTTCTCAGCAGAACTGATACCGGGGAACGTGAAACAGAGAGTTGCAGAGTGTGGTGTTAGTTTTCTCTACCCTGAAAAGTGGTCATCGAAAAGAAAACTGTTCGATCAAAGAATACTGAAAAGTTCATAAAAGTTCTATTTTGATCTTCCTCATTCATATTCTATGGGCATGTAGATTGGACTTCAAAATAGTTATATATATAATTGTTGCCAATAACTGAATAGCTCATGACAAGTAGTACATCCTCACAATGCTCCAGCAGCGCTTCCCAAACGTGGCAGCACAGTTCACTGTGTGTTTCAGCTTCTTTGGGTGCCACAATCGCGCATCTGCAATTCATGTAGTAACCAACTTGTCACCCAGCTTGGTGAAAACGGTGAAACAGAGTTTTGATGCTCAAAACCAAGGGACTGATCCAAACAAAGACCAAAGCTTAGTGTTCTCTCTCCCCAGGCCATATTCTGTCTCTCGAAGCATGAAAGGCCATGAGCCCTGAGTGAAACACCGGAAGTAGGTGATGTACAAAGATGTACCGAGACCATCGAATCGATGCGTGGCCCAAGTTCAGCTCCATACGTAGATCAGGTTCCGACTCGTCCCACTCAAAAGAACCCCCGACACATGAGCTGAGACAACTCAGAAAACAAGACCCTTCCATGCTTTAAGCGGCTTTTGCAGTGTGTTGGCAATCCCGGGTGACTTTCCGCTAAGCCTTGAATCCCTGCAGACGCACTGACGCCTTGAAACCTTGAAGCCTTCATGGGTCTTCGTTGCTTCGCGTCTTCGTGTCTCTCCGTGTCTTCACGGGTCTTCGTTTCTTCGCGTCCTCAGTCACAACCCGCTTCTGCCAACGCAATGGGCTTTTGGCGCGTTTTTTGTGCGTTTTATGCCGAAGGTTCGTTCGACTCCTCGATGCCGTCGGCGTTGGAGGTCGAAAACATCGGGGAGCGACAACAGAGCTGAAAGGATAATAATTCTCTTGGAGGATTCCTGAAATCCTAGATGGGGAAAACGTTCTGGTGTACTCTGGGTAGTTGACCTGACGAAATGTAACGAAATGGCAACCATGCTCCTAGTAAACCAAATAAACAATGTCACATGACCCGTGAGGCATTCCCAAGCGGCAGAAAAATCCCGTCTTTTCAGTCCACATCCAAAGGGTGTGGTAGCTGCCCCAAGGCGGAACACATCCTCGGGCGGCCCGTGGTGGTCGGGGCACAGCACATCGTCCCACTCAGGGTCCTCCTCCTCCGTCCTCCCACAACTTCTCAATGGAGATGTATCAAGTAGCAAAATTGCCGGTGTAAAGTACAAATTGAATGGATTTGGAACGGCTGCACGTCCAATTCTCTGGTAAAGCCACTAAGAAACTTGAAAGAAACTGGTTTGATCATTGTAGTATTGTAATTGTAATATGTTGAACCTTGATGAACCTTGTATATAATAGTAATACAAAAATATTAGGGTGGAGGCCATCGCTCTTAGGTTGGAGGCCATGAATATTAGCTTCCATAACTCCTGAGAGGCCACAACTCCTCCGCCCAAACCGCCGAATCCGGTCGCCTCGCCGCCAAGGGCTTGGCTTCAGCGTCCAAGAGCTTCTGACGCCGCGCGGCCTCGGAGAACAGCGGTGCCCAAGATGTCCAGCTCGGGAGCTGAATTCAGATCACAGATCATCACAGATCAAGCTGTGGCAAGTGGGTCTGTCAAATCATGGGGAATGGCATTCATGACCACTTGAAAGAAAATGATACACCAAAAGGAATCCCTTTTGAGAGTGTCAAAACCCTGCCCCGCTACGAAGAATTGGACGTGTATTTCAACATGACCCTGCCCGCACTGTGACCAAAAAGGCGTGTGTTCGCATTTGTGCCCGATTCTTGTTTCAGTGAAACCTGCGCCAGCAAAATTCAAGTTTCAGGCACGCGATGTCGCGCCGATCGCGAGTAGGACGTGGACGTCATCGGATGGCCGTGTTTAAGGAACGTGCGAAACGGGTCACCCGTCGTGGAGGTTCACTTGGATCACTTGGAACGTACGTAATCGAGACCAAACTCTCGGGCCTGTAGGGCCACCTGCTGCGCTTCTCTGGCACACTCGCCGTCGACGCAAAGGCAGTCCTGGAGTGCCGCAGCGCAATCATCCAAGCCTGGGGAACATGAGAAAGCTGCGAAACTCCAAGCGGCGTGAAGGGATCTCCAGCTTCTCAATGACCATCCGCTTGGAATGTCAATCTTCATACCAAAGATGGAAAACAAAAGAACATTGCTTCCAAACCGCTATCAAGTGTCCTTGGCGCCAGTTCCTTCAGTACACGGCTCCGCATAAAGAAAGCTCGCGCCTAACTTTGCCTGTGCTCGACGTAGGTAGGCCTTGGCCCTGCGATCGCCGCTGGTGAACTCGAGCGCCTGGTCGCAGGCGTCCTGGGCACCCTTGAAGTTTGAAGCCTTGGCCGGGAGAACCGAACAGCGGGGAGAAACGCCGGAAAAAAAATGAGAGGATTTGTGAGAATTCAGTGCCCGAAACGAATCAGAAACGAAGCTTGAGGCAATTGAGACAGATTCAGACAGCAGGTGCTTGGATGTTCGAGCTCAGCTCTCGGATCGTTCAGAGTGGCTAAGCCTACTCTCAAGTCACGCAGACCCGGCTAGGCTACAGGAGAGCCGGCTCTCGGTATATCTCTCCAGAAATATATTGTTGCATACCCTTCGATTCCGAATCTAGCATCTAGGCATGAATAGATCGATTAGAGGAATGCATGGTCCTCCTAAGCTTTGCAAACTTGGTTGTGAAAATCTGAATTTTTGGATGCAAATGTAGACGCAAACATGTGCAGAGCAAGCTGGGCAAGAGATCGGCTATGTGGGGAGCATCAAAAGTTACATGTAGGCGAACTCGTGACAGACAGATCTGTTTGGCAGATCCTCAAAACATTTATGATTTCCTGGGTCCATGCAGATCAAATGTCCTCAATGACAGTGACTCGGCCCTAAGGCCTTGGTTACAGAAAGAGTGATGGCCCAGGAGAAGCCATCATAAACCCATACCATACAGGAGTTGGATCAACCATGATAAACCATGCACTCTGATCTGCCCAGAAAATCTGCTCCCCGGCCTTGATCAAGCAAAGAGCTCGGTTCAACCAGCATGCTTCTTTCCTGAGAAACCGGCGAAGGGTGTTCAACGAAAGGCAGCGGGTCTTGTTGCGAGTCAACCGTTGGAGTGCTGCCGGCAGAACCCCCAAGCATGGTGTGAGAAGGGCTAGGAATGAATTGGGTACAAGGGCATCTTCCAAACCATCCAATATCATTTCGCTCCGGTTGCCCTCTTGTCACCCTCCATGCTAGCATTGAAGCCGCTAAGTTTAAGTGTACATATATATATAACTATACCTATACAAGAAAGCATTATATAGCTAGACTAGCAGACTTCGGTCACGAGTGGCAACCCTGCAAACGAGGCCATTCTTGCAGCACCAGGGGGGCGACTCCCAAGCCCGACGGATGACGACTTCCATCCAAGCATCAGTTCCCGCACTTGGGCGGCCCGCGCCTCGCCGGCCTTGAGCCCCCGGAAGTCGTCGATGTATCTGGCGAGGTCAGGTCGCGCTGTGGGAATGGCTCAAATAGGGAGACCGACCCCCTTGGAAGAAGAAAAATCGACCAGTCATTACCAGTCTACCGGTCTACCCTGCCAGGGCGATCGGTTTCTTTTTGTGGATTTACACATTGCTCCGTTCATAGCGATGCCCTTTGTTACTAAAAGCTTCTTGTTCCTAGTAGTAAGGCCAGGAGCGCCCCTAGTAGCGTGCTTGCTCCGTTCGTAGCGATGCCCTTACTAATGCACCCTCAACATGATCTTAGAAAGTCGCTGCAGCACCCTGTCACTTCTCCGGGTATCCATGTGGGCCACCCTCCTTTTTCGCAAAGGTCAAACAGTGTGAAGGGTCCAGTTTTTTGGGGTGAAAAGCTGTGCCTGGTGAAGGAAAATTTGGGTGACAAACTGGGGAACATGGAGGCACTGGTCTTGTTTTTTGGGGGGCATTTGAGGATTAATTATGCTGGTACACCTGAACCCCCCCCCCATCGCATCCTCTCGCTGGATTTATGACATGTTTATGAGCTCAGTGGACACCCTGCAGGTCCCCGATTATGGAAAATAAAGCCACTTCCAAGCCCCGCACATATAGGTCGCTATCTTTTGCGCAACAATGGGCTGCGCAAAACTTCAGCTATGTACCCATGGGAGCGGAGCGGATGTCAACAGTGAGTACTGCGACTGTGGATATCTCTTCAAAATCGACTTCACTGGACCATATTCCCTGCATCCACCTCTCCTTGAAGTCTTTCCATACTCCAAATCATTCGAATCCGAAGCCAGAGCACCAATAGAATTCCATCCCCACTCTTCTCCTCCTTTCATCCTTTCGTTGATACCCTGGCACGTCACCGTGTCCCAGCCACAAAGGCCGCTCTGCCCTCGAACCACGCGTGGCCCGTCTCGCGGCGCACCCCAAGCGCAGTGCGATCTCGCGGAAGTGAAAGGCAGCGAGGCCATAGCGACCAGTCCTTGGCTGCCGGGAAACCGAGGAGACCAAGCAGAAAACTGACGCTGTGTCTTGCCATGGCTATTAGGTTGGAGGCCATTGCTATTAGGTCGGAGGCCATCACTATATAGATCTATATATAGTAGGTTGGAAACCATCGCTATCTGGTTGGAGGCCATCGCTATTAGGTTGCAGGCCATCAAGTAAAAGAAGCAGAAAGCAGATGGCGGGTGCGGGTGAGAAAACACGGACCATGGATGGGTGAAGACCTGCTGAAAAAAGTGTCCGTCGAGTGTGAGATTCATATCCCATATCCTCTGGCAGACTAGCATGACTAGCATGTAGAATTCCGTTGTTGAGCAATGCAAAGGCACTGGACACAGTACAAATAAACATGACTCAGTCTGCTTGCGAGAGCACCATATTATCAGATGCAGTCTGCCCCCTGTTCGACGAAGTTGAGGATCAAATCCATGAGAGGAAAGCCTCTTGGGTGCCTCCAGCAATCCGATGTAGACGCTTGATTATACTTCAACCCCCCATAACATATCTGAAGAGGTTTACAATCCAAAGGGTAGAGTAGAGTCTACATAAATCACGCAACCGCAGTCTGAATGAGCCTCATACCTGCCTTTGTTGGCCAGTAAGCAAAAAATACTCTACACAGACATGTTCCCCAGTCGGCCCCTCGGTGCGCGGTCGGCCCCTCGGTGCTCGTTGAGCGCTAAGGGTCTTCAGGAGCCCCACAGCCGCGTCTTTTCGACGCGCTAAGACCTCGGAAGCAATCCACATGAGGTTTCTTGAGGGAGGCAGCAGGAATATTCACATGTCATCGTGTCATCCTAACAGGTGTCCTGCACAAACTACGTTAATATACGGTACTGCCCAATGGATTGGGCCCATCCCGCACCATTGGTTGTTCAATCTTCAAGCGTCTTTTCGTGTCTTTTCCCATGATTTCAAGGCGGTGCTTATAAGAAAGAAGATGCAACATGATGCAACATCTACCCAAAGGCCCCCACCAAGCCTCCAACTTCTCTTCATCACCGCGAGCATGCTCCCAGTCGCCCGGAAGATAGCTGGTCACTTCCACTTGAAAGGTCACCGACTCCGACTTCTCACCTGGAGACATTCTGGTCGTGCTCATGGGATGTTCTTCCCACCCCCTTCACCAAAGGCACTTCTTCCGCTCCAAAAATCCCGTCCTCTGTGGCGATTTCGCCCCCAAGCTGGAAGCCTCCTCCAAGCTCCTTCGACCGAGACCGAGACCGTCCCTGCCTCGCCAATCACAAAGCTTGGCGTCCGCCGTGACCTGAAGAAATGGCACCGATCCATTGAAGAATGGCACCGATCTGCCAACAACAAGGCCACAACGACCTGGATCTTCAAACGGCCGTTACTTTTTGATGCACGCTATATAAAAATTATCTATTACATATATATATATATGAGTACAATCAATCATATCATATTGATCTATTTGAATTCCATTTGGGGTGACCCCTCAAGGTCGTAATGATGTTCAAACACACGGCCCTCAATGTCGATTTACAGTGTATATATACTGTATATCTACTGGTGATTGGTGGTGTCAACTCACTTGAACAGTATTAGTCAGTGGGATCAATCATCTCAGAGTAAAGGTTGAGCATAAAGTATCTGAAACCTCCGTCCAGCCTGTTGACAAATTAAGGTTTGCATGGCTCTGAACCCGCAATATCTATCAACGTCACAGGGCATTGGGCGGGTCCGATGTCATTCGCTGTCTCAACATCGCCCATGGCATCCCACTTTTGGAGGCATGTCATCCAGCAGCTGGGTTTCCCCAAAAAGACTCCCCAGCTCCTCACTGTTGACCTCAAAAAATCTCCCCAGCTCAGCTCGCCTGAACGGAAAATCCGATTCGGATGTCTATCCATCTCGGCCGTTCAGCGCCTCCGCGCCTCCGCCAGGTCGTGCTCGCGCATCCGCAGCACCGAGCACTCCAAGGCGTCACACAGCTCGCCGGTGCCCAACAGCGCGCAGAGCGGTCCTGGATAGCCCGGCTCGACCCGCAGTTCGCAGCGGCCAAGGGCCTGGGAGGCACCGGAACCGATGATGTGGGAGTGAGAAAGGAGTGATGATGTCAAAAAAAGATAAACCCAGAGTAAATGGAAGATATTGGCTGGACTTTGGAGGATGTTCTAATATTTGGGCGAATGAGACCAAGGATACAATTTCTTGACCGTCTTCATGGGCATTCCATCCCTTTTCCTGAATTAGTGATCATCATCCTTTGCCCAAATGCAAACTCAAGTGTGGCAGGTTGGAAGACGCCCCTCAGGACGTCTCAATGGGTGGGTACTTGGTGACCTTGAAACGCACTCTTGGGGTCAGAGGGGTGAGTGGCCAGCGGGATAAAAACAATGCACATCGTGATCGACCACCAATCACCTGTTAAGAAGGAAAAACTCCTGTGACTAATCTAAGGGCTTTAGATGAAAGTGAGGGGGGCTTACGATCCAAAGAAAAGTGTTTGAGGGTGAATGGGTCAAGACAACCGGGTACTACCCGTGTTGAAGACCGGAAGGTCCAAGCAGTGGCCCGCCGAGTTCTGAACCGTGGGAATCCTTCAAATTGAAGCACCCCCTCTCAGATAGTGTCAAAACAACGAGTGCAACAAATGATCTAAACAACGAGTGATCTCAAAGGTAAGGTCCGTAGGCAAATGTTTGAAGGCTCTAGAACAAGTGGGTCGACACTTGCCTCACCTGCTTCCCACTCGGACCCTTCGGCACCGCGGGGGTGAAACCTCCCTCGTGCCGGTGGACGCTTCAGCACCCGTGGGCGACGGACGACGTGAAAGCAGGTGCCTCGCACCTCATGTTCGCATCGCGGCTGTGGAGGGATTTCAGCACCACCGAGCGGTCCTCTTCACCGGTCGCGGTCGCGCGTGGCGTGTTTTTCTTGGCGGGTGGCGTGGTGGCGGTTGGCGTGGGCGTGGTGACCTTTCAACGAAAACAAGGCAAACCGGCCAGTAATGAAGCAAGGAGATTTGGGAAGACATGGGAGGTGATCCCTTCTAAAACGCGTTCTAAAACAAGGCAAACATGCTTTTTTGAGGCCCCCCCACTTGTTTTTGATGTGGTCCGGGCACAGGGGATCCTTGAGTGCCCTTGTTGAATGGTGGACACGGAGTCTGCCTGCACATACAGGTGTGTCAAAAGCAGCATGGGTGTAATTGGGTGATGGCCCCAAACCAGCCCTCTGTTCTTGTGCATAATGGACTTGTCTACTCTGCCCCAAAAAACAACAGTTTAAATATGTATACCATATTGTAACATGATATTCCTTAGGTAAGTTCAGGTACAAAACAAGTTGGGTCATCCCCATGATTCGAGTGCATAGAGACATTCACTGAGAGACCACTTTTGCAGTAATCCATTAATATCAATAATACGAATAATCTTGCACCTTCACCACCTGAAACACCATCATTGTCCTATCACCTCGGGTGGCACAGGAGTTCTTCCAGCCGAACAGAAAGGAAATATCTTTAGGTTGTTACATGCTCTTCCATCCGGAAAGAACCACGCGCTCACGCATGTTTGCATCGAACATCAACCATCGCGCTCGGTCCTGCTCGAAGGAGGCATCGCTGGTCTCGATGAAGTCCTCCAAGAGCATGGTGAGAAGCCACCGTCGTTCGTCTGAGCTGCTGAGCTGCGGAGTTCCCCCTCTCGAAAGGGGAGAACATCAGCAGAAAAGTAGACAGCCCCTGGGTAGGTAGAATGATGGTTTTTGGGATGGTTTCCTTTCAACCCACACAGCAGGTTGAACATGTTTATATACTTCATCCCAAAGAGCCGTTTAGAACTTGAAAAGTGGTCTTTGGCTCGCTAGTTAATCTGGACTCCAATAGCATCACATAGAAGGGATATGAAGGAATGCAGAAAGTCCTTCTGACTAACCTGTTCTCCGGGTGTCTGTGAAATGTGTGAGTTCTGAAATCACAGGAGAGCCCATGGAGGCCCAGGAGAGTACGCTCATTCGTCAACCAACTTCTGTTTGCTTTGAGCCGGCACCGTGAGATCTGTCTAAACAACGGATCTCAGACTAAACACCGTGAGATCTGTTCCAATTGATGTGGTTTCCCCTCCGCTCCACGCGGACCCTGCCTCCCTCCGGCAGCGGCAGCAGCGGCAGTGGCACCACGCCCTCGTGCAAGCGAGGACCCGTGCAGCGCACCTCGCTGCGCTCACCGCGGCGCATGGACAAGAGCGCCTCTCGCCGTGGGCAAAGGCGAGACAAGTCACTTACTGCCAATTCTCGTGACTCGGTGTCATGCGAATTCACCCGCACTTTGTATACCTAGAAGTCATGTTTCGGCTCCATTCTTTTTTCACTCAGGTCCTCAGGTTCTAGGTGCATAATAATATTATATATATATATATGTTATATGTATACATATTGTATATATATTAATATTATATATTATATTTATATGTGGGTTCACTGCGCTTTCCAGGCCCCCAATGAAATGACCTCAGAGAGCCGAGTGATAAACCGAGTAAGAAAGTCCCGTTTCGGCAGCACCGGAGCGCTAGCTCTTGGGTTCCACGCTCTCAGCCCAGAAGATTCCAGTTCTGCAACTCTTAGCCCGCTCGCAAGAAGCTACGCACGGTGGAGGCCATCGCAAGGTAGGTTGGAGGCCAGAAGCTACTAGTAACAATAAAGCCCTTTTTAAGCCTTCAATGAAGTCATACGAAGGCCCCAGTAAATTGGTGGAGATGCAGCCCTCACAGCAAGCACAGTGCTGCAAGCACGGTGCTGCCAACGAAGATCCAACTCTTGGAGGAGCTGTTTGATGTGGAAGCTACTTGGAGCACAAAAGATTTTGCCCCCACTCTGAGTCAAGATGAAAAAGACCGACCAATATGAAATCAAGCAATTGTGGAAGTGGAGGCGGATGTAGGATCTGCATCTCATGTTTCCAGCCCCTGGGGTGATGCCGAAGCCACCCGACAAAGGACATACAATCTGCTTCAACATGGAAGTGGAAAATGGCTACTGGGATGACTATTGTCTTCTACCAGCAAAGGGCTTTCCACTTCCATGTTAGTGAGTCGAAGGGTACACTCCCGAGTGCTGACCTATAAGATTGATCCTACTTTGGCTTTGACTTCTATGTAAAGTGACAAAGCACTCGCAAGCTGCTGTGTAAACGAACTGGAGTTAGCCAAAGAAGGTACCCCGACCCGTGAAAATCCGAATCAAAAACCGTTGAAGCTCAAACACTTCGAGGATTTCTCTAAAATCAAACAGCTTTCAATGCAAATCCTTTAATGGAAGCATGGAAATCTATATAACCACAGCATGTCCATCATTTCCTAGGCACCTTCAAAGAAAAGAAGATCCGCAGCAAATTCGCGGAAGATTTCCGCGCCTTGTCCAGCAGCTTCCAGCCTTCCGGCGGCGCTCCGTGGAAGCGATGTTCGCTTTCAGGAGGAGGAAGATCCACTATCCTCAACTACCGAAAGATTGGAACTCAAAATGTCAATATTTAGAAATCCGTTGATTCGCTATATTCACTATTCTTGAGTGTTCAATCTTCACGATCTACCACTGTGCGAGACTGAGGTACCAACGTGCGCAATGCACATGTGCACATGGCATGGCGACGAAACGCTTTTTTTTCGCACGAAGCGTCCGACGCGACAAACGCTCTGCCGGGAAACTCGTATTGCAAGTCTCTGGTCCACAACCTGGGCTGCGCCAAATCCTTTGGGAGCCCTTTGGAAACATCTCATCTCTACGGAAGAACAGCTGTGGTCGGCGGTTCAATACCACAGTGCTCCACAATGCTTCATTAGACATGGGATTGGTGCCTCGGATGGCAAGTCTTGACCGACCTGTACTTTGGTCAGATTTCATGCAAGCACTGACTGATTGAATCGGCCTTCGCATTCCAACAGTCTCTATATTAATAAGAATTGATGAGTCCACAGTCCACCTACCTATCCTCAAGATCAGTTTCCCTTGACACCAACCATAATTACTTGTTTTCTATGCAACAATATACCACAATTAGACCGCATATTCATGCATATTCGGTCGAAATCTTTCGGCACGTGGCCATCCGGTCAAGTCGGGTCCACCCTCTACCCCCTTGGTAGGCAACCTTTCTCTTCCGCTCTCAGCGGCAGTGTCCTGGGCTCAAGCTGCTCCAAGGAGAGCGAAACCCGACAAATCTGCCCGATGACAGGCCTGGCACATGACGCATTCGTACACTCCCTCCAGTGGGTCTTTCAGTGGAAAGCTTCACGATGTCCGAGACTGTTCGAAGGGAAAACGCTCTTCTGCCGGGTTTTCGAAGGTAGCACGCACAAACACACAACTTGAAGTGAATGGATGTTGAGACAAGAGCTTCCTGCAGCCAGCAGAGTTTGAGTGGTGCCTGTGATCGTTTAATCTAATCCTGCTGCCTTGTGGGAAAAGCTGGAAAATTATTAATCACCTTCTTCCAGCTGAGTCATTCTGAGCCACAACCACCGTTTTCGTGCGACACACAAAAAGGACCCGTCTTAGCACCTCAACCTGATCGACTCCATCTGCCCTCCTCTAGGGGCGAGTTAAATGAAGTTCCAACTTCAAGTCTTCCAGATTCCATGGAAACTGCCTCCAGATCCGTTCCGGTGCGATGTTAGACCTTTCGAGGTCTCCGGTCCACCCACGTGAGGACCCGCGTGACGCCCGCGGAGCGTCGTCCGAAGACCGGGGAGGACTCAAAAAGGATGAGACAGACGGAGGCGCGGTGAGGAGGTCCCCATGTCTCAAAACCACTGACTTTCACAATGACAGATTGATTCCCTTGAAAATATCCGGGTGTACTTTTTGGCTGGAATGTGAGGACGGCTCAAGAGTCAAGACCTGGTCCATCTCAGCTCTGATCATGTCTTCCCAAATCCAACCGGCGAACGAACCGTCGTGGCGAACGCAACCGCGTGGGGACGGCCACGGGTCGCGTCGTCGGACGGCCACTTTTGTTCAGCGAGTTCGTCTCGGTGGCAGACTCAGCGTTGGCTAAGCCATGCTGAGGACTCAAAGATCGATCCTCGGTGCAACTCGCTTTCCACGTAAGTGATTCAATGGTAACATATGAATGCATATTGTGTATGTTAATAGGGGGACCCCCAAACCAATGGGTTTTGGATGGTTCGGGGTATCTTTGGGAGATCCCCCTCTTAAAATCGATTCATCTCGCCGAGCAGAGCATCCAAGCTCCTCCAGCTCTGAGCGGTCTCGACTGACTCCGTGGCAGACCACGTTTTGTGGAGAAGTGGGAGCAAACGAAGAACTGTATGGCTGTGGGTCATGTTTCCCCTTTTACCTGGTTGTTTCCCACCGAACATGAACGGAATAGACTACGAGTCGGAGGGTTGACCCTGGCAGGGTGAAAGGGGCTCCCATACCTTGACCTTCTTCAACCTTCATTTTGCTGGTCGAAGTGGGAAAATGCCAAAAAAATAGAACGACCCTTGGACCCTTGTGGTCGAGTGGGGAAGGAAGCTGTCTCATGTCCCCGCTGGACGGGCTATCTGGCGCCAAGCTGCACGGTTTATTGAGGTTTGGACTGCAACAAACGACACTGCAGACATCATAATCATCATAAACACGGACCGAAGAGAAAGCTCCATGTTGTGTTGTTCGATTGGCTTCGTGTGGGTGGTCCCAGTTGGGTTGATGATGCTCGATGTGTTTCCTGCACCAAGTCTGCGTGTCATGGGTCGTTTGGACGGGAAAGCACAACATCAGTGTTTAAATTGGATCCTTTGGACAGCTGAGTCGGTGAAAAAAGGAACCAAACACATGTTTCCGAGAACAGAAACCGACGTGGCGGAACGTCTCAACGTCTCAACGTCTCATCGCATGCAAACCAAGGGGCGTTGAAACGTGTCAACACGTGGCAAAATCCTTGTCCCAACCTTGGACCAAGCTGAAAAACCGCACAGAAAACAGCTTCAAAATCGTTTCTTTGGACGTGGAGTTATGTTGAGCCACATGGAATGTGTTCTTGCAGTGTTTTCCATATTTACAGGATCATACAGGTTTCAACATGTGTGTGTGTTTTTTCCATGTTTGCTGGTATTTGCTTTTTCTGTTGAAAGCGCCAGTTGGCGTGAACTTGCGAAGCACGGAGAGTGACAAGAACTCTGCCACATCAAAGCTCGACACCCTGTAGAATTGGGGATTCTGGTTCGCGCCCCGCTGAAAATGTGATGGTGTCCCGTTTGTGCTTTTGGGTGACTTTGGCTGTTGAAAAATGGTGGATGAGGCTGGATGAACTGGGCCAAAACACAGTCGGGTGGTTTTTTGAAACGCCCGAGTGACCGAGTGTAGAGTTTCTTCCGTGCGCCGGACATGGAGTTTGTACGATTCCTACGGCCAAGTCAAGCTACCTAGTATCTTATTGTTTCTATTTATAGATTGTTTCTACTAGCTTCTTGTTCCTAGTAGTAAGGCACCTGTTACTAGTAGGGATGCACTTGTTCCTAGTAGCCTTTGATGCCTGGTTCAAGGTATTTGCTTGCAGTCTTCACAGTCCTTGCAGCGTATCTTTGACTTACTGTTCATTCTTGGTGCATCGAGTAACTCTCAGTGAAGACACACTCCGTGTGAAAGAGCACTCTTCTGATGAGACCATTTAAATTTGGTGTTACACATTGGGTGCACTCTTGTGCAAAAGGCTTGGAGCTTGTGCGTTGTGGTTAGTTGCAAGGTGAGATTTGCAAATGCTTTCCTGTCGCGAGCGTTTGCTCAGGATGCTCAGCAATCCACCGTTGGCAGGTGCAGCAGCTGTGTAAAAACAGCATGCATGCATAGTGAGCTACAGTAATTCGACAGGGCACTTCGCGTAGGAGTGTGCCTCTTTGCCCGGGAGGAATATTTCTCGCACTTGAATGCACTTCATAGGTGGCCGCATGTAATGATTAGTGGTTGAATGTAGTTGATAAGCTATTGACCGTTTTGAGCATGCCAGGATCCATGTAGCCAGTCTCTCCTTGATAAGCTTGTTTTGGGAAAGCCGACTGTTTCACCTGGGCAACTCTGTCGGCCACGCTGCAGCACTGTTGTGGTTGAAGGCCACAACAAGGCCGACGAAGCGCAGCCGCGACCACCGGAAGCGTTTGGGGCGAGGAAACCAATGAGTTGGACAACCTCCGCCACCAAAGCAGACAGACAGGATTTGGCCCTGGCGAGGTGTTTTTGGGAAAGTGGTCAATGCATCTTGTGCCGGTTGCGCCGGTTGCGCTATGTTTACCAATTCCTGCTCATACTTGGGTACTTGAGTGAATCTGTCACGCAGCCCAAAGGTTCGGAGTAAGAAAAAGGGATACCTGCATAATATACAAACATGCTGTAGCTCCAGAAACCCAAAGGTTGCAGGGTCACAGATTTCCACGAACAGTCATCCAAGGCACCTGTACCATCGTCTACATACTCAATGAACCTGGGCATCTCATCCGGATGGACGCTAAAGTTCGCCAAGTCCTGTCTTCTCCACGTGCATCGCTTCATATCGCTTCCATGCATGCGCACGGACGTACAGACACGTAGGTAGGGAAGACCAATGCGGTCATCTGGACTAAAGATGGGTCCCAAATTGCTGACCATTCCCATCCACAAACAGGGCCAGTTGCCGGCCCTTTTCACTCCAACCAAGCTCAAACGGCGGCCCAAACGTGACGTCACCCGAACCATGCCGCACCACCGGTACTCACTGAACCATGAGGTCCTTCTTACTCTTCACCTTCGGAATGAACGGCGCTTCCAACGTGAACTCCGTGAACTTGTCCCAATTGAAGCCTGCACATGGCTTGGACCGCAACCACCACCCCCGGAAGCCCGTCCGAATCAACAAAACAACACCTACATCCAATACCTGTACCCTCCAACAGGTTCCAAATTGAGACCTGTGAATTCCCTACCCTCTAGAGAAGACCTGTTGGTTGAAGTTGGGGCTGGTATATAAAATGACTGAGACTTGGCTCGGCGGCTCGGGGAGGCTCACACAGAGCTTACTAGCTATATCTGCTCCCTGTGATTTTTTTCGGCAGACCCACGTGGGTCGTCTTTCCATCGGTGTCTTTCCGAACGAGAGAACCAGACTATTCAACACACAGAGTTGCAGAAGCACCAGAAGCCTTGAATGCAATGATCATGCTTACCATCTCAGGAATCCAAGATCTGTTTTGAGGGGCACAACCTCTTCGAATGGAGGCTGAAGAATGCAGAAAGATGCAGAATCTTCACCGAACCAAGGCATGCGCCAGCAGCCTGAAAGGCTTTTGCTTGGTCAAACAAGTGGATATGAGAATCTCAAGAGGCCCCCTAGTACCTCGATCTTTCCGATTGGTCTTGGGATGTGCCATGGTTTCAAAAGGACGCTCATTCAGGCCCTGGCACATCTTTGGGGGATCTGGAAGCATTCCAGAAGTCCAGGCACTTCAGAGTTCTGGTGGCTGAGGGAGGGAGAGGGGGGCACAGGGCAATATCAGAGAATGTACAGAGTCCCAAGTTCTGCACCCACAGTGGCTTGGGGATCTTGGCTCTTCCATCAGAAAACCTCTGACTCGTTTGATTAGCGCGCCATCAACTCCTCTTCTCCAAAAATGGAACACCTCTGATTCATCCCAGCTGGTCGCGACGTGAACGTCCGTCACGTCGACCTCCGGGCGACCTCCCGCCTTTGTACCATGAATGGGTCTTGATGTTCTTCGATCCGCCTGAGGTCGAACGGCGTGGCGCTTCGTACCACGAAGGGTCGGCGATTCACACGCATCCCGTATGCGTGGGCCGGACGCAAAAGGAGGAACTCAAAGACCTGGTACCCAAAATGAGTACTTCAAGAGGGAGAGACCCTGGCCAACTGGGTTTTGGATGGTTTTGGTCTATGTTCCTTCTTCTAGGGAGTCTTCCATGCACACCGAAATGAACCTTCCAAGATTAGACAGAAGCGATCTTGTGCGCTTGCGGATGTTCACCTACCTGACCTCGGCCGAACGCAATCGGTTTCAACGAAGGGGTTTGAAGAGCGTCGACCTTCGTCGCTCAGACCTCGACCGAGACCGAGACCGACCGAGACACCCTCGAACCATGGGACTGAGATCCTGAGAGAATGAGTCCCACCCGCCACCCCTCTGAGAGAAAAATTAAACAAACATGCGAGAAAAATCAAGAGATGAGAGATGAGAGGATCGTGAGGA